ATGCACGAAAACTTGACATGCTTGTAGATTCAGATATAGATATAGATGTATCGATATATTATCTAACAGGCAGCGGCGTCTGAACACAAAACAAACTAATAAGCTTGCTGATCTTGACAGAACTCGTTTTGCGCTCTCGATAGATGTATGAGAGCGGAGTGACGGCTAGACAACGATAGTGGCGAGCGGAAATCGTAAATGAAACAAGATATTTGTATGTAGATTTGAGATGCGCGAGTATGATTGGGAAGATTGTGTGTCGTTGTCAATGCATGCCAATCTCTCTTCTTTCTCTCTTTTTCTCTTCTCTCTCTCTCTCTTTGTCTTTCGCTCTCTTTCTCTCTCTCTCTCTCTCTCTCTCTCTCTCTCTCTCTCTCTCTCTTGTTCTCACTCTCTCTGTTTCCATGTACTCTCATCTCTCCGCTCACATGTCTATTCTCTCTCTTCTATCTCTCTCTCTTTCTCTTTTCTCTTTGTTTCCCTGTACCTCTCGCCTCTCCGCTGCCTTGTATTTTCTCTTCCTTCCGTTTCTCTCTCTCTCACGTTCTCTTTTCTCTCTGTTTCCATGTACCTCTCGCCTCTCTATTCTCTTGTCGTTTCCCGCCTCTATCTCTCACCTTCTCTCGGTCGCTATCCTTTTTTCACACGCACCATTCCTCACTCATCGCTCTCTTTCTTCTCCTCCACACTCCCGCGCGCTCTGTCTCCCCAGTTTCTCCCGCGCGCAATATCACACGAGCTCATACGAATATCTGGCGGCGGAATAAGACGAGGCGAGATTGACGCCGGCGTCCGGATAAAATTCGTATAATTCCTCGCCTCCGCCGCTAGAGACGTCGCTCGATATTGCAGCGATCATGTCTTCGTTGTATACATACAGACGACGGTGGAGCGGAGGTCAGTCTGCGCCGGTAAAACAACAGCCGCGGAGGATGAGGAGGCTGTGCTAATATAATCCTGGCGCTTTTCATCCTGCCTCTGCCTTCGTCTTTGCCTTTGCCTTCCTTCTTTCGCCCTTGTATTGCCTTCGCCTTCCTTCCTCCGCCTTTGCCTTTGTCTTCTTTCCTATCTATACGTCTATCGGCACTAGCGCACGGCGGGAGAAGGGGAGGAGGTGTGGAGGAGGAGGAGGCGATGTGAAGGCGCGCTGGCCTGTGACATCGTGACGGAAACAACAGCTTCTCGTTTGTATCTACTATGGCTGACAGAAGAATAGCTAGAGAAGAGTATCTGTACTACTGCGCTGTCGTAGGAGAAGAAGAGCATCACCTACCGTCTCTACCGTCCTGCCCGCGGCCTGTGCATGACCTTTCATTTGTTGTCATTCGCTGCAAGGGTTTCATTAGCGACGCACAACCTATTTACCTCTCGTAATTCATTTTCACCGACCGACCACGCATATATATATATTTATATATATACGCTATGGTTCACCACGCTGCTGTGTAATCAATTAAGGCGTCGTGGTCATTAGGTATTCAGCGCGTGACGACATTGTTCGCGTAGTTAATTACCGATGCAAATGCACTTGCGTTAGAAGAACGGCGCAGCACTAACTCTGCATAGCTGTGCTTTTAGGGCCAGAGGTGCTGTCAGAGAAGTGGGGATGGGGGAAGGAAGGGTCCAATTTTGCCCTGAGGGCTTAGTTCTCCCGGTAGGGATTATTCAGTTAGTCGTCGTGGAACAATTTATGAGCGGTGATTCTTCATCTGTAGTGCTGCGCTAGTAGCAGTAACTTGCGAAAACAATTAACAGCATGAAGCGCGGATTCATCCGTACATCTACATGTATTAATATCAAACCATATCGTAAGACAGATATGCGATGTCATATTGTAACAGTGGACCAAGCCCACCCGATTTGTTACGCGTAATATGTGGAACCTGGCTTCCGGCTTCCAGGATTTCCGGTTTAGCGCGCGTTAACTTCGTCAGTGTGCGCATGCGCGAATAGTTTGCAAAAGAAGTTTTCTCATCTAGTCTCGTCAATTAGTCAAATTAGCTATGCATGTGGCTCAGTCGTCGTAACATAACTGCGATCGCGCATGCTCACAATTTAGTTGTCAATCAACAACACGTGTCTTGCCACGTGTCAGGAGCGCGTGCGGTAAGCGTGAACTAATAGTTGCTGATCGCGTCTCGAAAAATTCTGCTACTGTTTATGTTTACTTAGGATTGTTGCCGATAGGAAAACATCAAGCGATTTGAGATTTTAGAAGTAACCGACTGCGCTGTTACTGGCCAGCAGTGCGTGCGTGTTTAGATACTGCCGATTTTAGTCCACCGAAACGCTAAAACAACTTGCTGTCACGTAAGACAAACCTGACCCCTGGTGGGGCGACGTAACGCCCACCGTAACGCCCACCGTTAAATAAACTAATAAAAAATAAAGTCTCTGACGGCAGTAACGGGACGTGATTATATCACCAATTTCGTCTCCATTTTTTTTTCGAGACGACGTACGTCCTTTCGGCGATTCTCTCTCTCTCTCTCTCTCTCTCTCTGCCACTTCTCCTCCCTTCAACTCTCAACAAGAAGCGATATTTCCTCCCATGAACACGTGTAGTAGGTCGTAATCACGAAATCCTTACATGTCCTAACCATGCAGCGTTCACGTAATGGGGAGAGAATAAACTCCATCGGACGAGATCCGTGCAAACAATCGAGCGTCGGGAAAACGTGGTTAATTTATAATTTATAATTAATAATTATTTCCGCTCGGCGGGAAGTTATTCGCACGTTAAATCATTGGAATCTGACGTCTCGTGAAATCACTCAGATGCCCGTATCAGGTGTCTGTTTACATGTGCATTGTGAGCGACAAAAGAAGGTGATGGAAAGAAGGCAAGAAAAAGAGAGCGACGGTAGAGAGAGAGAGAGAGAGAGAGAGAGAGTAAGATGGAGAGAGAGAGAGAGCGAGAGAGAAAGAGAAAGAGAAAGAGAAAGAGAAAGAGAAGCAGCAAGCAGACGATCTGTTCGACACCGTGTTTGCTAGCGAGAAATCCTCATCACCGATTTTACGCTGCATCGACCAGAAGCTGCGTTCGGGAGATCCGATGCAGCGAAAACCGCGATTGCCCGGATGTCACACGTTGTCATGGAACCGGCCAATGACGCGCCCGCTCGTCAGTCCGCCATTTGCATTTCTGCGTGGATTTTACGAAGGCGAAAAAAGCGGGAAATTTTTTGCGCGCGTTACATTTCAACGATGCTGATTATTCGAGGGGAATAAATGTAAAATAATATACGCTTTTTTCGTCGCTTTTCTCTCGCTCGCATTATCGCGAGTTTTTGTGCAAGTTTACGTTTTTCGTTTATAGTTCCCGAAACATTTCGTAATGCCGAAATAGTAGACGTTGGCGCTAATTCGTGGCTTTCAGTCGTTTGAGCCGATGACAAAAACCGTACGGGGGATGTGCGCGCGCGTGGCGTTAACGAGTATAGGAACAACAACAACAACGACAACAAAGGATGTTGGCAAACTAACACCCGTGGGTACAAAACATATTTGATACTAACACTACATAAATGCTGTCTGAATTATACGCTAATAACACCGTATAATTGCCGTCAAAATGTTACGTTAATTACTCATAATTGTCACCGTATGATCACTGCCGCAGCCACATGATATCCGCCATATTTAAATAGCAATTAACTCTTATTAGTGCCGCACGATAGCGCTCCTACCCGTTAGCTGATGATATCACTCTCTCTCGCACTTTCTCTTCGCCGCAGGCTGCAACTCCGTGCTGCAGGGCGTCGCCGGCAAGTGGAAACTGCTCGAAGCGCCCTCTATCCGCAGCACGGCGCTCAACCGACAGTTCGACTGCAGCTACGAGCTCGTCGCTGGCGGCGGCAAACATGGCGACCTTGTGCAGCTGCGCATCCAGCGTCTGCAATTCAGCGCGCGCAACAGCTCTACCCTGTGCGAGCACGGCTACCTGCGCATCGTCGACGGCAGCCGCGAGCCGGCGCGCACGGGCCACGGCAACGCCGACAGCGCAGGGTATTACTGCGAGGACCGCATCAAGATGGCCGCCGGTGGGGGCGTCGGCGACGGCGCCGCGGCGGGGCGCGCCGATCGCTACGTCTACTCGGAGACGTCGTCGCTGCGCGTCGCCCTGCGCGTCTTCAACCTGACGCTCGAGCGAGCCGTAAACCTCCGCTTCGCGCTCTTCTACCGCTTCCTGCCGCGCGCCGCCGCCGTGGGGCGCCACGGTACGGCGCGTCGGCCCGTCAACGCCGACGTCGTCACCGTACCGGGCACCTACTGCACGCGTACCTTTCCCGACTGTTCGAGCGCCGACTGCCGCCTGCAGAGTCCCGGATGGCCGGGCATCTACCCGCGTAATGTCACCTGCGGGTACCGCCTGTCGGCAGGGGGAGGCGGAGCGGGGGAGGGCGGAGCAGGGGGGAGGATCGTCATTTCGCAGCCGGAGGGGGACAAGATTGACGTCGCCGCGGCGCGCACGGACAAGGGTCAACTGGTCAGCGACGGACTCGAGTACGCGTGCGGCTACGACGGCGACTACGTGAAGATCTACGACGGCGCGACGACGCGCGACCCGCTCATCGTCAGCTTCTGCGGCTCCGGTCCGCTGCCGACGGTCGCCGCCAGCGCCCCCTACGTGCTCGTCGAGTTCCACAGCAGCGAGATGGCCGACGTCGGCGGCAGCGGCTTCGAACTGCTCGCCGACGTGCGTCGTCCGTTGGAAATCGTCGGCGCCGCAGCGTTGGCCGACGGATCCTGCGACGTGGAACTGCGAAGCGGACGCGGCCGCAGAGGAGGAGGAGGAGGAGAAGGGAGGGGAGGAGGAGGAAGCAGGTCGGGCGTGGTGACGAGTCTGGAGCACTGGTATCGGCCGGGTACGGTGTGCAGGGTGACGTTCCACGGGGCGCCGCACGAGAGGGTGTGGCTGACGTTCATCGACTGGAGTGTCAACATGCAGCGCAGGTGAGTGAGGGGAGACAGGAGAGGTGTGTGGGGAAGACGGGAGGTGTGAGGGGAGGAGTGGTGTGGGGAAGGTGTGGCGTGGAAGGTGGGCGAGAGGGTGTGGCTGACGTTCATCGACTGGAGTGTCAACATGCAGCGAAGGTTCGTGAGACGGAAGGCGGGGGAAGGTGCGTGAGGGGAGGCGGAGAAAGTGCGTGAGAGGAAGGTGGGAGTGAGACGAGGGTGAGCGCGAGGCGAGTGTGGGTGTAAGGGAAGAGGCGGAGGAATGAGAGGAGGGCGGGCGTGAGGGGAGGGTGGGCGGAAGGGAAGAGTGGGTGGGAGAGGAGGTGGGGAGTGTATGAGGAAGGTGGGCGTTAAGGGAGGCGGAGGAGGTGTGCGAAATTAGTGGGCGTGACAGGCTAGGCTGAGCGGAAGGCGAGGGGCGCGCGGCTAGGGTGGGCGTGAGAGGCGGCGGGGCATGCGTGCGGGGACACTGCGCGTGAGTGAGTGGAAGCAGGAAAGGCGTGCGAGCTGTAAGAGGAAATGTCGATGGTTTCTTCAGCGCTGGGTCGTTGTAATTATTATTTCCCGGCGGTGGATGGTTAGCGATATTACGGGCGATGAGCAGCTAATGCGGCATGTAAGACATCGGGTCGGAGGAAATGATTCACAGATGACTGGTCTTTGTTCTGACGCTAGTCGCATTGCGTTGATGCCTGCATGCTCGTAGTCACGCCCGTATACATACAGCGATACTCCCCCGTATATCTCTCTCCGTTGTCTCTGTCAGTGCGTCTCTCGCTCTCTCTTCCTTTCGCTTTCTCCGTTATCTCTCTCTTTCTCTCTGATTTTTTTCTCTCCCTCCGTCTCACTATCACTGTTATGTGTTTCGCTTTTTTTTCTCTCTCTCCTCTCTTTGTTGTCTTTTTCTTTCACACCCTCTCTCTCACTCTTTCGCTAGATCACTGTCTCTCTCTCTCTTCGCTCTCGCAGTCTCTCTCTTTCTCTCTCTCTCTCTCTCTCTCTCTCTCTCTCTCTCTCTCTGTCTCTCTCTCTCTCTTTCTCTCTGTGTCCTTCTCTCTTTCTCTCGGTGTCCCTCTTTCTCTCTCTCCTCTCTCCTCCTATCTCTCCCCCCTTCTCTCCCCCTCTCTCTCCCCCTCTCTCTCTTCCCTTTCTCTCCCCTCTCTCTCCTCCTCTCTTTCTCTCACTCTCTCTCTCCCCTCTCTCTCAGCTTGCACTAACGCAGTGTTTACCTGTCGCAGGTGTGCTGACAATCACCTGGAGTTGTTTGACGGCCCGCGGGAGACGCGCTCTGCTCGTATCGGTCGCTTCTGTCACTCGCACGTACCGCGTCTGTGCATCCACGCAGACGCCCACGGCTACGACTACCGTCCCTGCCGCGTCGGCTCGGAATCCTACCTCTCCGTCGGCTCGTCGGTCGTCGCTCGCTTCACCAGCCGACGGGGATCCCTCTACGGCCGCGACGACTTCCGCTACATGCTTCGCTACGAGTTTGTCGACGCGCGGCAGGACGGACAGAGGGCGCTACCGGGCGCCGCCGACAACGACGACGTCGGCAGCTGCCAGCGCGTGATTCGCAGCGGCGGGCTGTCGCGAGGGAGTTTCGCGCCGCCGCGCAACATCTTGTTGTACGGACCCGGTGGCCGGTCGCAGCTCGACTGCAGTTACACGTTCATCGGACGCGCTAACGAGAGCGTCGTCGTCACGCTGCAGACGCTGCGGCTAGGTGTCGCCACCGGCTGCCGGACGACGTTCAACAGCACGCTACTGCGATACGAGTGCGACCGCAACGTCGTCGCCACCGATGATCCCGACGCCGCCGAGGTCGCCGCGCCGACGGGGGTCGTCAACGAGCTGGTGATCGCCGACGGGCGCGACGCGATCCCGCGCGAGTGTTTCTGCGAGGATCTGGAACGAATCATGCCCTTCACCAGCTTCTCGGTGACCTCTACAGTGCAGGTAAACTTCACGATCGGCGCCATGTTGCCGTGGCAGTACTACGATGACTTTCTCTTCCGCGCGCAGTACGTGTTCGCGCCGAGCCGTGGCTGCGGCGAGCACCGCTTCGTCGGCCAGCTCGGCGACTTCAACTCGTCGGCGTACACCGACGGGTTGCGCGCCGACGTCACGTGCCGCTGGACGATCGAGGTCGCGCGAGAGCATTACGTTTATCTGAACTTCACGCGATTGTCGTTCGCGTACCCGTGCGCAGACGAGCGTATCCTCATCTTCGCGCCTGGCGACCCGCGTCCGGGAAAGATCGTCTGTCGTGAACGCACGCGCGCCGTCAACGACGCCTTCTCGAAGCACTGGCGCAGCGACGACCACTACGTCGTCGCCGACGCCGCCAACCGGCTCGTCGTCGAATACGTGTCGCTCGCCGAGGGCGGCTCGTTCGCCGCCAGGTGGCTGCAGATCGCCAAGCCGTCGCCGGCGTCGCGCTACTGGGACGACGGCACGCAGGACGACGCGTGCGGCTTCGTGTGTCCCGGCGTGCACGCGTGCATCGATAGCGCGCTGTTGTGCGACGGCGTCGCCGACTGCCCCGGCGCATACTACGGCCGACCGTCGCCCGACGAGGCCGACGCGATGTGCGGTCGCGTGGCGCCGCCACCGTTCCCGTGGCTCTACGTGGCGCTGTCGGCGGGCTTCGGCGGTCTCGTGCTCCTCATCAGCGTCGTCTGGTGCGTCGACTGCGCCGTGAAGAGGGCGCGAGCGACGCGCACGCGACGGAAAGCGCCGCTGCCGCCGCCGCCGACGACGACGACGGAGGCGGCCCAGCCGACGACGTTGGAGCTGTTCAACGAGTACAGCGACGGCGAGTTTAAGACGACATACGCGAAGACGTGGAATTAAGGACGGCAGGTGGCGCGCGATGTCGGTTTTAGTTCCCGATGCTGACGGGAGAGGGAGCCACGAACGCTCGATATGAAGTCCGATATAAATTTTGCAGGTGGCGTCACACGCGCACGGTCGGCAGTTGGATATCAGTTTTGCTCTGCACGCTGGCGGCAGAGGGCGTTACGAACGCTCGGCTAGCGTCGGAACGTTGGGCGCGTGTTATTGATGGAAATTAAGATTGGAGTGTCGATCGCACACGACAGCGACAGTCTAAGACGTGGAAAAGACAGGGTCGTGATTCACGTAGACTGCGCCTAAGCGCATACGTTCGTTTTTTGGCCAGGTCTCTTTAGCAGGCACCAGAGAGATCGCGATTACGTAAACACTCGTGACGTCATCATATTTGAAATCGAGAAAGCGTCGACAAACGCGCCATCTAGCGTTCCCACCTACGTCATAGCGACTGCGAATCGCACGTGGTGTAACTCTCGTACTCCCCGCACATAATCAAACTTAACTACGTAGGTAGTTCTCAGTTGAAGACGGGGAGGTGATGGGGTTAACGTTGTACATAGTGGAGAATACGATCTAGATTGAACGTCGCACACCTCACGGCTCGTCGAAGCTTCCGTAGCTACACACAGCGCCCCCTAGTGGTCAACACTATGATGAATGTTTGCGTTAAACTTGAATGGAAAATGTTTTGAAAGCACGAGCGAGATTTTGAGCCGGCAATAAGCGATCGTCACGCACCTGGCGGGCCGATCCTTGCTTCAATCAGAGAACCCATGCGCGAAATTTAAACATGAGAAATACTTGTTCGACTTTACCGCACAGCGACCCGCTGGTTTCTATGAGTAATGCATAAAATAAACTTGAGCAGATATACGACAAGAAAGTTTCTGTAAAAAGGCTTGCTCAGCTCACGAGCACGCGCTCTGCGACTGCGCGATAAGACGGACCTTTGGCCCGAGGGATGTACGTGTGCTCGTCGCTACATCTTTAGTACACGTTTACGACGTCAGATGGCGGGGCGATAGCTTCACATCGACCAGCTCAGCTAAGCAGAGAGGACCAACGAACGCGATTCGTGTAAACTTGCTGCAGTTAACGATGCGCGGTAGAAGAATGAGTCGGTGTAGCGCGAACGTTTTACCCACTGTCACGAGCCCTTATTCATTGTGCATAATAAATAAAAGGTCAAATCCCCATGCGTCAATCAAATGCGCCACGTACTGCGCTAGACACGCCCATATTGCCATATATGTATAAGGGGGGGAGATCGTCACGGAGAGTAAAGAGTTTATGTCATACAGGCGTATAGAATTCAGGTGTCTGCGAGTGTACGTTAACCAGCGCAGCAGCCGTAACTACAGTCAGCTTTTCCTCTTTGCTCCCAGTTCCACAGCAGCCTAGAACACGGCCAGACGGTGGCGCCATCTGTTGGTGGTCGATGGCGTCATTCCTAATTATACTGGTTGGTTTCAGCTACTCACGCAAACAGCGACGAATGCAAGGTCACGAGCAGAGTCACAAGCACAGTCGTGGAAAACGATGGCGATCACAGTCACGGTCACGGTCACGGTCACGGTCACGGTCACGGTCACAGTCACAGTCACGGTTACAGTCACAGTCACCGTCGCGCTATACGACAGGGAATATGCAACTCTTCTACACGCGTGACGTCAGCGGCTATTAGTAACAACTAGAGTATCTGGTTATGTATGTGGTTGTTGTCATGAATGTGTCATTATGTAAATATCAATGTGACAAGATGTGTAAACTGATTTATCTGCGAATAAATGTTATTTTTCTATTTTAACGACCTGTTTGTAAGAAATACGTTAGAGCTCTATATAGTTGTGTTAAGGGTAGAGCCTACAGCTGTATTAGGACTGCAATAAGTCCCGCAGCAAAAATACTCAGAGGCCGTCATCACTAAATTATGCACAACAATTAAAAACTACATTCATTTATAATTTAACCTCGCAGATTTGTGTAATTAAAGTATAAAAACAGTGTTGAAAACACGAGGTAAGCGGACATGGTGCCATCTAGTGGCTAATATCGTAGCGTATTTCGCCCAATTTTCGGTAGAAAGGATGTGGCTGCCTAACAGACATTGACTGTAGGAAACATGTTTTACTTTAAAAAAATACTTTTTCAATAACATCACGTGAGTGACATTAATATTCTATGAAGATATCGCATGATTTTAGATTAATCTGTAGCTGCGTGCAGGCGCTGTGCGAACATATATGCATAGCGGGGAACCCAGGGCGTGATGCTGCGAGCAAAGTGAATATTATAGATCGAATTTTATCAAGCACACGTGCTGTCAGCCTGCCCGGCTCCACTTTGAACGTATAAGAATAGCCTAAGAAAATGTTCTTGGCAGGTCACACGCGCGACCGACGTCGGAGCCGCCTTTTGCATGTACAGTTAGAGTATAGCGGGAACCCCAGGCGTGATCTGCGAGCAAAATGAATATTTATAGATCGGATAATTTTATCAAGCACATTCCGTGCTGTCAGCCTGCCGCTCCACTCTTGAAGTATAAGAAGTAGCTCTATAAAATGTTCTGGCAGTCAACGGGGCGACCGACGTCGGAGCGCCTTTTTTCTTCATGTACATTAGGCATATAGCGGCGGAACCCAGGCGTGATGCTGCGAGCAAAGTAAATTTTGTAGATCGAATTTTATCAAGCACACGTGCTGTCAGCCTGCCCGGCTCCACTTTAAACGTATAAGAATGGCCTAAGAAAATGTTCTTGGCAGTCAACGGCGACCGACGTCGGAGCGCCTTTTTCATGTACATTAGCATAGAGCAAAGTAAATTTTGTAGATCGAATGTTACCAAGCACACGTACTGTCGGCCCGCCCGGCTTCATTTTAAACGTATAAGCCCCTCCTCCTTCTCCTTCTTCTTCTCTTCCCCAATACTCGCGTGCGCGCCTGCTGAGTTTGTGTTACGAATTTCTTCCTGCGATTCACAGTGGGCGACACTGTTGCTGGCCGCAGTGACGTCAGCGGCGCCGGCAGACGAAGCAGACAAGGTCGCGGTGAGAGTGAAGCGCACCGTGTTTGGGTTGAATTTCGCCTGCCACACCGCAGACCACTTACATGGCCACTTACACTGCGACCATTGCCACGGGCGCAGACGCAAGCGAGAAAGTGTGCCAGTTCTTACAGGAATACTGCGCCGAATTACTGCTCAACTACGACATATAACACGGATGAGAACGACACGCCGGCACACGCCTAAAGTGTCGCTACACTAATACAGCCACGGCCGGATTCAACTAGTGCGGGGCCTGGAGCATATATATATATATGTTATAAAGGGGTTGGGAATTTTTTTGTAAAAAGACTAAAACACATAAATTTAAGTTAATCTAAATCTAACACATTTGTAATGGATTTACTGACGAATAGACTAATGTCAGCACTCATTATTGTATCAGGTTTACGTGTATACTAAAATAACAAATAAATGTTGTTTAAACAAAATCTAACTGTCAGATAGTTCATGATATTACGGGGCTCCTAAAACCGCGGGGCCCCTAAAACCTATATCGATTGTTATACTACTGGTATACTACTGCTACACTATAACTGTATTTACTCTCTATCATCATATTTATATATATATATATTTAAACAAACATCTATTAGAAACATTTCGCTGAAGAGTTAATGGTTAAGGCTGCATATTATACAGTAACAGATTACAAACAACGACACGTTTTATCGGCACGAAATTAACTTGTGGGGTAAGACCATTGGTCTATGAAGGATCATATATTGCACGATTTTCGAATACTCATCCTGCGATCTAGACACCTAGGCTCGTTGACAGATCAATTATTATGACATGTAATGATAAATTACAGTGAATCCTTGGTGCTGGCCACCGACCGATATATATCAGGAGTAAGATAATATAGGATATATCATCCTATATTATCTTACTCCTGTATATAT